ATATATGATATTGTCAAAAACTATGAACTCGGCAACAGTTGCTACGACAAAAAACTGGTTGGTGAAACAAGCCGTACAAACCAACTATGAACTTGTACCTAGCTACCCCAGTCGATGTGACCACATCTTCAAAAATCGGTTCAATAACTAAAAAGTATAATATTTGTGAAGCAATTAGGTACAAATATTAGCTCCTCACACAGAATTTTGTTTTCTATTTCCGAAGTTACATACATACATACACTATATTACTCTCTATCTAATTCTCCAGCAATAACATGACAAAAGCTTCACTTTTTCGGCTATGTTGCAAATGATTTCTTTGTGATTCTCTGAGAAATCTCCTCCAACTCTTATCAGCGGCGCAGATAGCATCCAAGCTTTCAAGGTTAAGAGCTTTGCCCATAGGTGCTTAAAAGTTTATATAGGTCGCAATGTCTTCCATCAGTTTCATGTCTTCGGAATTCTATAAACTACAATAAAAGAAATATTTTTAAAAAGAATAAAAAAAAATTCTAATAGGAATTATCTTTTAATGAAGAAATTGTTGCCATATACTTATGCGCATACATGAACATGCGAAGTAAAAACAATCGCGGCTAAAAGCAGAAAACTATAAAAACTTGAAATAAAATTGAAATATCCACTTTAACAAATTGCCAAACTAATAATAATTAGCAAAGGAAAAACGAAGCAGACAAAGAGTGTTTGTATGTGTTTGTGTGCATAAACAAGTAATAACAAAAAATATTAAAACTGAAATGAGTCAACTGCTTTTTAAAAATAGTTTAGCATATTATTATATTAAAAAGCATTACCCCGCTATCACCGCACTCCTTCTTGTGTTTGAATTGATTCACAGTTTTTGCGCCCAACTCGTTTTGCAACGCGTTGTTGTTGTTTGAATTGTTGATTACGGCTTCTGTGCTGGTCAAACGGAGTCAACGACTATCGCCTCAACGTCATCGGGTGCTGCAGCGCCGAAGTGGGCAAGCGGTTGGCATGAGTGAGCGTTGCGACGACGGTGCGGTGGCCGTTAATAGCAGTATCGGATTGCCAGTTGCACAGGCGCGCGATGTACTTGCAACACACACGCACACGTGGCAATCTATGTGAATATGTATGTGTGTTTGTATGTTTGCGCGCTGCTATCTAGGCATAAACTTTTAATATTATTGAAAAAGAGCAGGTGAAACTTTGCGCTAACCAACGCTGACTGACCAAACTGGACCACTTTTTCCTATCACACAGATCCCCCCTTTATATACTTGTATTTCAATATATATATATGTGTGTGTGTTTATACACATTACTCAACCATTTGCAGACGAGATTGTTCGCTGTTGTTTCGAATTTCACAACGAATCTATGGTCGTATCATCGCACTCTAATGGCCAAAGTGCGACCGGTGTTGCCACACTTTGCCATTTTGCCGGTTATACACATATACATAGATACGTACTGCAAATAAATCCGTTGCATGCTAATTCCACATGTTGCATGTTGTTTGTTGTTTGCTGCAATTGCCACAAAATGCTGTGCCACTGTTTATTGCACGCTCTTGTGTGCCGCGTGGTGAATTGTGCAGTAACAATTGACGCAGTCAAATGGTTTCATCTCGATTTGAAGAGACAAACGTCGTCCGTGCAACGTTTGTACAGTGGTGGCCGGAGCAGTGGCAGCAGCAATGTTGGCAACAGCAAAAACAACATTCATTGAGTGAAACAATTGTAGCGGTTATGTTGTGAGCGTTATTAATGACGTTGTCGATGATGTTGGCGACCGCACTGCAGAGCTTCAGTTGCCCCAACTTGTGTTGCACGTACGCCAACCTGCTGCAACTGAGCTGCTGACAAACTACTCCCGTTTTATATGTATTTTTGATTGTAGAGGAGTCAAGTTTGATTTAGTCGTAAGACATATTTATATGCACATATGTTATATAAGCAGATACGGCAGTGGCGGGTAACGTTATGAGAACCGGAAATTCGTTAAACAAAACTGTAATTGGTAGAATTTCTGAGAGATGAAGGCCTAGACGATTTTCATATGTTTCCATATCTTAAGGCTTTCAGACACTTTTTTGAAAAATTAAAAGATATACGATTAAGCGATTGAAATTGATATTACGACCTTAGGAACACATTTCGCCAGTATAACAACAGCATAGAGAAATAGACAGCATTATAAAGGAAATGTAGGAATCAAAAACAGACTGTACTTGACTAAGAAAATGACAATAATGAAGGGAAACTTTACGAAAGGTAATAGAAAAAGACTCGATAGAAGCATATTTAGTACTTAATTCTCAAATATAGAGTGACGATCTAATAGAAAAGGCAATTTGATAGGTCTAACCATGAAAATTAAAAAAGAATTCAAGATAAATTCCTGTTCCAAATAGCATTAATAACTAAATTAAAAATTTTAGCTGAGTGTCAAAGAGATATTTTTTAAGTTTTCTTGTTGATTATTGACAATTGTCTTGTCAATCCCAAAATACCAATAGACAGCTCATAGAAAATCTTTCGAAGGATACTACCCTGGATAACTTAGATCTGACGTCTTTCGAGACCATTTGCTACCCATCTAGTACTGATGCTGTAATATAGTTTTGGACTTCTAGGGTTATAATAGCTCTTAAACAAGTCTGGCTGTAATGAGACTTAGCATAAAAATAATGCCATAACTTTCTTTATGATACTTGTTAGTCAATCACCTTTTATTAAATGCGAGCTGTCTTCCATGTACGGTATTCAGTCGATAGATATATAAATGCGTTCAATTGAGCTTTTTCGAAAGTTTTCAAATATCAATCAACTCTTATAAGCGTTCATGTTTAGCAACAATTAGAAAGCTTTCTGCCCTGGGAAGAACTCTACTGAGATATTTCCTTAAAAAATATTGAGTTCTGGAACTATATGGCATCCATTAATTTTAACGAGCTATAATTTCAAAGTAAATACCGTAGATATTGGAAAGATACTTATGTTAGTACATAGAATTGCAATAGTAACATACTACACTGACCATATTTTAGACTAGCCACTCTACCTTTGGAAAACTTTAACCCATAACCATTTCAAACCAATGGGTCATCGGAGTCTACTAGGAACTTCAATCAAAACATTAGGATCATCAACAAAATGCTCTTTAAATTATATTCCGGGGATTTCACAGGTTTGTTTTTGTTTGGATATGTCAATATTAGCGAACAGATTCTCTTTAATGCCGAGTTTGTATTTAAAATTGATCTTCGAAAGAAATAATTTTCAAAGGTTTCAAAAAAACATAGTGAAATTCAGAAAATAGTTCAATAGTTGTTACAGAAGAATAATACACACTTTCTGTGTTTCCAGCTTAGCAACTGTAATCATAAATTTTTAAATTAAGTGTAATCAAATGTTTGCCCACCACTGTACACACTTAATAACCATTGAGGGTGATGCCGAGTGACATACAAACGAACCGTAACACAACATCTCGTACTATGGATTAGTTATTATTATTATTGTTGCAATTGGTAGCATGCAATTGTAAAATAGAAATGTTGGTCAAGTGGCAAACCACGCGCCGCAATCGTCAGGCTTAGGCAGCAAAAAATACACACACACACATATTTATAACAGAAATGTGCAAAAGGCAGAAAAGTAAAAAAAAGGGAAATAAAATAAAATCGCGATTTACAATTTGCTTTGAAAAGTGCCACTACAATAATGCCAGCAGCAACAATTGCATACGCGAAAATAGGGTGAGCAACAATTGTTGTACTGACGACTTGCGAACGGAGACGTACTACGTTTGTATTATGTAGAGTTACATGTGTGTTGTTGTGTATGTTGGTGGGGAAGTGCACACGTTTGCAGTCATGTGCCACGGCAAACGCATTAATCACACCAGGTGCTATTCCTGCGGCCGAGTCAGTCCCATTTGCTCCTATTTCTGCAAAACACGAACAACTGCATAAATATTGATCACTTGTATATATAAAATATCCTCTTATTGGCCCGTGGTAAAGTAATGACGCACGCCCGTTCCAATGTAACCTAAGTGGGCACAAAAAAAAACTAAAGGCGCAATCAAAGTAATACTCCACTGCCACATTTCGATCGGAGCAGTGGCTTTCTAAGCCCAGCTTAAGGCAAACGTGCTGCCCGAGTTCCCTACTTGCTGCTCTGGAGCATCGTTAAAGGAAAGCCTCTGATTAAAGCAATAAAATGTTCGGATTACTTTTACTTGAAGAGCGCGCAGAAGTGAGGTTAGGCGCTCAAATAATTTTTAGCATTTGATAGCTGACGTTGGATGTTGAGATGGGTACTGGCTCTACTTTCAATATCATGCATGAAAATATTGCTTTTGGTCTTACCAAGAAGATAATGGTTGCGAATTGGATTAGAGCAGCGTCCGCCGACCTACAATATTTTCGAAACCCATCTAATTGTATGCATAGACTCCCAAGATAAGTGAAATATAACTAAAGGATATAGTCTACCGTCAGAAGATATAGTCGTGATTACTACTTATCGGTTTCTATTTCCTCACAAATAGAGAATTGTGATTTATTTTGAGAATGGCCAATGCTTGTTAGACAGATTTTAGAAATGGTAATACTAAATGTACTGATATTGGTATTTTTGTTGTAAATATTAAAAGTAGAGATTGATATGATGGTGATATTGATACCGATATTGATGGTTGATTATATTGATGCTGCTGTTGTATTTTACTTCAGGTAATTGAAAGTATTGGTATTGGTAATGCTTATGAAACTAATCCTTCAATATATTATTTTTTTATTTTTATAAAACAAGGTATGCTATTCAGAATGCATAAATGGTATTGGTAATGATAATAGTATTTACAATAGCAAAATACTTGCTTTACTATAGATATTGACAATAAGTCTTGGTAATGGTAATGGATTAAGCAATTATATTGACAAAGTATATAGCATGATACAAATACATCTAAATTGATACCAATAATAGTTTTTAATAATGGTAATGACTAAATTTGGTAATGAAAACGTTATTGGTAATGATCTATTGAACTAATATTATTATTGATACTAGTATTGGATATTAGTAAAGATTGTGGTTACAGTAATAGTAATGTATACAGTAATGGTAATAGTAACGGTTTTAGTAATGCTACAAGCTTTAGTAATGGTAATGATTTTAATAATGGTAATGACAACGTAATTGATGCTGGTGTCATCAGCAATATTTTGTATTGGTTCTAATATTGGTATTGGTAATGGCATTATTACTGCTCTTTTGCAAAAACAACTGGCGTTGGACATTATAGCCCACAATTTCAGTATTCGTTCTTATATTGGTATTTGCTGACATTGATACCGATTGTTAGAGATGAACACATTTGTAATATACTTGAATATTCTGATACTTTAGCAACATTTTTTACTTAAAATTGCTGCCATTCTGTGCATTTTCAGCATACTTAAGTATGTACTCCTTGGTAGTATACTTTTTCTAAACTTTTGCCAGGTACTCCAGATAACCTCAAGCAACATCGTAAGTATTGACTCATTAGCGATAGGGGACTAATGATGGCTGATGAAACAGCATTTGCAATATACGAACACACTCACATACATGCATACATGCAATTTCAAAAGTCCTTCTACATGTAGCACCTGTTGCGGATAACCGTTAAAAAATATAATAAGCTCCAATAGTAAATACACACATATGTACATACTCCTAAACATGTGTGTGCCAGTTAATTTACACTCACGCCCATAAAATCTTATAAAGACATTATAAGTGAAAATTCACACACAAACTGATATAGTTAGACCCATGTATGTAGGTATACATGTATGTGTCAACTCTTAAAGCTGATTTGCTGTTGTTCAATCTTTTTTGCCTTCATTTCATGCACGCCGCTTGTTGTCGTCATTGCTAAGCTTGCTGTGCCATTAAATTTTCACATTTCCTTATGATTTTTAGAGCAATTTTTGCTCGCTTTTTATGCGCCAATACATATACACATACAAACAAGTATGTATATATTGATATGCGAGTGTTATTGCTTTGCCTCCTGGTCGAACTTCACGCGATCGCCTGCTTTGCTCGGCACTGAGCTACAGCTGCTGCCACAAGCTCCAGCTGTTCTCCTCAAATCTGATCATTCGAAGTGATTTTTATGACTCTCAGCTAACTGATGGCAAGTGGTCGCTAAAGTCGTTCACTTTTATGCCTCCACATACATATATATGTGCATACATACAACATCTGTGTGAAGCTGAGCAAATTTGCATGCGTTGCATGTGTGTATTTGTGGCAAGTGCCGTTGCTGCCATGCAACAACTTCAATCAAACAATTACATTGCGGTTACAAGTGGAATTGTAATGTAGTGCATATGAAAAAAGGATTATTTACGTTAGTGGAATGACAACGAAGCTGGAAAAATAGGGAATTAGTGCAAACTTATGTTTATTTATAAGTTTGTAAGAGAATTTACATACATAGAAAAGGAGACACCGACATAGAGTATTTCGCAGTCAATTTTAATTGCGCTGTCTGGGTTATGAAGATGTCTTCATTTTCTCCATATTGCATTATACGAAAGAGATCTCTTTGCATCTATCGAAGAAGTACTCAGGCTGACCATTCGGATCTCATATAAGACTTACACTGATTAGACAGAGATCATTTCGAAACTATAAAGCATTCATGTAAATATTTACGGGGACAAAGGTTTGTATCCAATTAGATTCTATAACAAGCCTAGAGGAGTTTTTATGAAAGGATAAGTAAGAATAGGCATCCCACTCAAAATAAGTCACTCATTAAAGTTGCTTATACTTCAAAATTTTTACTTTCGGAAAAGTTAGTACACGTAGAAGCTATATATCCCTCTATTAAATAGATATTTTTACAAGCCTTTCACCTTTAACTTAATTCTGGATTCAAATTGAATCTAATGCACCCTCTTTATAACACTAATATACTCAAGGAGTCTGGAATTTCACAGATAAAGTCACGAATTCGGTCCAATCCGTTAGTGCCGTATTTAGGCTTGGTAGTTATCTTCTTCAATTTCATACCTCCTCATATTGCATTACACAATTCTTCATGTCAGAAAAATACCCAAAAGTTTTATCTCTCAAGTCTCTAATATCCCAGGTTCTATAACTAGAGAAAACAAGTTCAAAATCAGTAAAAAAAGTCAGCACCAAAGCAATATCTGCTATAATGGTAGTCTTCCGCTAAATGCTTCAGAGGTTATTCTTATTTGAAACGCCTCCACTGTTGAGGTTAAGAATATTTATAACGCTACAACTTCTCGGTGGATGGCAGTAGGTGGGTATCGTATAGCAAAAACTTAATATAACAGTAATCGCTGTTTGACAAGATGATGTAGATTATATATTAAGCTCCGGTCCCGCCTACATAAGTATTGGCGGCACAGCTATTGTATAGTCTCAGCTTGGAAACTCAAAGTCGAATAACTTTGAACAAAAACTATTACTTCTAGTTGAGAAAGCCCTCTGACGTTTAAAAAAATCACTTATTATAAGGAAGCCTCTCATTTTATAGATTTCAGCATTCGATTAGATTTATGATAGTTTTTCGGGAATTATTCAAGCAATCTGTCGGCGCTTACCTGAAAAAGAAAAAGAGAGAAAGTTGATTAGATATTAGTTTATCCCGGTTCATATAAATGTATCTAAATATGTAGTTAAATGTAGGAATACCAAAGAATAAAATAGTAGTATAATAAGCTTTAATATTGTAGCTAAGCGAAAAAAAATCTGACACTACCTACTTCGATCCTAAGCGTAATAATATGCAGCTACAGAGATTTGTCAAATTTCGGTTTTTGTCAAAAGATTAAGATTAAGTTTTCTATGCCAAATGGATTATTGAATTAATCTCAGCTGACAAACAGTTAAAATGATAAAAAGCTTCCAAATAAAAATACGAAGGTTTAATGCAACCAACAAGTCATCTGAAGTCCTTGGAAAATAGAACATCAAGGGCTTACCAATGAGTCATTTCCGAAGAAACAGCAAATAACGGCAACAATTTTCCAAGATCTTTCTCTCTGATCCATAGCACTTCTCACTTACTTCATAACTAATCTTTTAATGCAAATAATTGTAGGGTATTGATAAAAAAAAATTTTGATTTCAAAGAAGTCTGTTGAGGCGTCTGCGACTTAGCTTTACTTCGTCAACGTTTTAATTGTGGGAGCCAGCTAACCGCAAAACCACAAATTAATCGATATTCGGTAGCCAAGCGTGATCAGCCAACCGCTTGTCTGCTACGACAACTTTTTGCCCCACCAACAAAGCAAACCCATAATCAAGCTCTTTTAAGCCGGTTCAGTCAACTCAACAAATGTGTAGCCCCTCAAACGCGACGTCAACGCCGCTGGTCAATGTGGATGTTTGTGTGTATATGTGTTTCTGTGTGTATGCGCAAGTGTGTGCTTTCAAATGCATACTAATTACGTCTAAAGAAATACTAAATTTTCGATTAACATAAATTTATGACATTAAGTTACAAATGATTAGTTGTTGGTGCCTCCCTTGTATTGATTTTTGCTGCTGCCTCTTTTTTTTAATAAATTACTATATTTTTACTACCCGAGTGCCACTTTGTTTTCGATTATTCATTTCCTTCATTTTACATATATTCTTATTAAATAATTAAATATTTATACACTTACATATATAGTATATGAGTGTGCATGTGTGTGTGTGTCTAACTATATTTGCATTTCGGTTTAGCGGTCCATTGACCAGCGCGACCGTTCGTTAGCCGATCTCCGATATCAATTGTTTGCGATCTTTACGAGTGGCTTAAATTATTTTTATTATTTTATTTTATTGTTGTTTTTGTTTTTTGTTGCCGCTGCTGATGGGAAATTAATGAATGAACGAATGAGGCGAGTACTGTTAGTATCAATGAATGAACGAACGAATGAATGAGTGTACACGCTACATGTATGCATGGCTGTGTGTGTGTGTGTGAAGCTGCGCTTGCTGTGACGGCTGCTGCTTGATGCGACTGGGTTGGCTTGTTGCCTCGCTGCCTTTGGTTGGCTGACCGGTTTGTGTATCTCCTCATCTATTGTCGCTTACACAAGATGATCGCTTGCTCTGTGCGTGTGTATATGTGTATTTCCTCTTATCAATTAATGATTTTGCATAAATTACCATTAATATTAGTTAACCATTATTTTTTTTTTATTATATTCTTCATGCGTCAAAACCGCAGTGCATGTGTGGGTGTGTGTCGGAAATTGTTGTAAATGCAAATATTGCCTTTAATATTAATTGGTACGCCCACAAGCATGCTTCGACTATGAATGGGCCGTGGCAAAAGCTAACAGTAGTAGCACTATGTGGGAAAATATTTATAGTCTATAAATATTTATTGAGGTTCTTATCTAAAATGTTTACTTTAATAAAATATTAAATTCGGCTTTTTTGAGCTAAAATACACCGTTCTACTTTTAATTAATATTTATAAATTTGTTTTTGGTTTGTGTCAAAAAATTTACTGTTACGTTTATAATAAAATATATGAATGGGAATAAAAGAAAATATTATACGAAATATCTATTTACATTGTAGTAAATGGTTGCATAATTTCATAATGCAAGAAACATATTGAAAAAAGGATATAAAAAGATCTTTGTCTTGATTTTGCTCGGTCAGTTTAAATGGCAGCTATATGCTATAGTGGTCTAATCAGAACAATGTAGCGATGCCTTAGATAATAATCCGTCAATTTCATAAAAATACCTTGTCAACTACAAAAGTTTTCCATACAAGGACTTGGGTTTGATCGGTCAGTGTGTAAGGAAGCTATATTCAACAGTGGCTCGATAGCGGCGGTTCTGATAAATGAGCACCGTCTTGGAGAGAAAAGCGCGTATGCAAAATTTCTGGTCGATATTTTAAAAACTGAGGGCCTAGTTCGCCTATACATATACATAAGTATATACAGACGGACTTGGCTAAAACGACTCAACGCTAATAATTTATATATGTATATATTTTATAGAGTATCCGAAGATTCCTTCTAGGTCTTAGAAATTTCGTTGTAAACTTAATAAGCACTATTCAGGATATAAATATGTATATAATGAATGACTTAGCTTATAAACCCAAAAAAGTTGGACTGAGCACTAAATATTAATGGTTACAGTCGTGTTGTTATTTGAAATACAAAATTGACCAAAGTAAATGCATTTCCATTTGAAATTCGAAAGTTCATAGTAAGTCACGTGATAATTTCGGAGTCACCAAATAAACGAATTATTTATCCATTTAAAAAGCATGAATCAAATGAATATTAACGATAATATAAAAGTTATATTTTAATTTTGTCACCACAAAACCATAAAAAGATGAAAAATTGTTTTAATTAAATAAAGCAAAAATTAATTTTGATTGAACTACACAAATATGTATGATTACTAATAACGATTAAGAAGAAATAAAACAAAACAAAACAACTTGAAAGTCATTTTAAATTCAGTAATGCAATATCCAAGTGCAAATCCATACATAAGTATATACATGCACACATATCTATATAGTAAGTAAATATACTTAGCACACAAAACATTGAACAATCATATCTTAAATACGAGTATATGAAAAAAAGTTCTCATTTTTACCAACATTTTTTTAATATATTTTCTCATTTCACCTGAGTCACCCTATATGCTCTGGATGCCATATTTGCTAAGCTCTATTTAAGCAAAGATACAAACAACTGTATTGAGCACACATCAGCGGATTTTTTCCTTGCATACTTTTAGGCATAAACAGTCAGCGAACCACAGTTGCGTACTAATAGTTAGCTATACAATTTTCAAGACAGCTTATTCGTATCACTTATATAAAACAAATTGAAATTTGAATCGTTTTTGAAAAATTGTTAGAACTTCTTAATGATAATAAATTATTATTTCTTAAATATTTTTTCAATAATAATTTTTATTCTCTACAGTTGGCCACGTTGTTTGTAACACCTAGAGGGAAACGTCAAGTAATCTAAATATATACGAGTAAAAACAAATTATCACCATGGCCATGGCCATGAGCTTAGTCAATTTAGTCTGTCTGTCCGTCTGTCTCTCAGTTTTTGAGATATCGATCTGAAAGTTTGCACACGTAGTTTTTCCCCAAGATACTGCTTTGTCGGAACCGCCAATATCGGACTATTATAATATATAGCTGTTATACAAACTGACCAATCAATACCAAAAGAGTGTTTTTATGGAAAAATGTTTTATTCGTGAAGGGTATTAAAGATTGGAAGCTAACGTTTTTTCTTACATTTATTATTTTTAATATCAAAATCAAGTATATACACACTAGGGTGGAGCGAAAAAAATTTATTTTTTTTTGCTTTGCTGAGGGTCAAATTTGTAGATTATAAAAAAATTAATTTTTTGGAAAATTTTTTTTTTTTTGGTTTAAACTCTTACAATTATACAAAAACCTTCGAATTTGTCAATTTTTGACTCAAAATTTATGTTAACGCTTAAGAAAAGCATGTTGTAGGGTAAGACTTTTTTTTAAAACTCCAATGACCACAAACATTTTTTTAAGTTGATAACTTTTAATTGGCCAGAAAGAGGACTCTCCACAGCTTCTAGATCACTTATCAAAAATTGTTTACGAAAAAAAAATTTTAACTCGAAACTTTACTTTAAAAGTGAGATGTAAATGTTAAATTACAATAGAGCTTACAAATATAAAAGCACAAAAATATGAATGCAAATAGATCTAAATTCCAAATAAAGCTGCCGATATTATGATAAAACGCAGGTAGGATCTTTTTTGTATCTGATTATGTTAGAGATTTTCTAAGAAAACTTCAATTATAGCAGGTTTAATATTTAGTGATCTTTGAAAGATAAAAAATTAGTGAATTATGAGATTTATTTGAATTAAAAAGTCTTAAACCGTTTTTAGCACCTTGTTTGTTTGTATATAAGCAAATTTGATTGATTAGATACAATCTGTAAGCCGGTAGTTGTGTGGTAACCATGTCTGTTGTTCTCTCGGAGTTATACAAAATATTTTATAATATCCTTGAAGCTCGAAGTATGAACACATATTTGAGCATAGAAAAAAGTTCCAACATTTAAAAATAACTTTTGTATTCTGGAAATGATACCATAAATATCTTTAAGTAAAAGTAAGTGGATAGTTCACTCGAGTGATATAACTGTAATTATTCTATGACTATTTTCTTTATATCAGTTGCATTTCCGATTCGACCACCCTCACGTTTTGAATAATAGTAATGACGCTTCAGAAAACCTGGTATGGTAATATCCGGCTTTAAAAGAAACGAAAAAGAAAAAAAGCATAAAGTAAAACCTCAAAATTATATAATATATTTTTGTAGTTAAGTAACTTTTTTGTGCCCACCAGTGTTCGCGATTGACAGGACCTTGAAATCTGCTTGAGAAATGAATGATTTATGAAGTGGATTTTGTTTTATTTTATTTTATTTATCTCACTTTTTGTGGCCCATTTTCTGTTGCAAAAAGAGAAGACTAACGGGCAAATATAGCTGAAAATTAGAATAGGACGCATGTGTGTTTGGTTTCAGTTTTGTTTGTTTATATTT